TTTAGCTTTTATAAATAATTTGCCTTCATATCTGGCAGCTTTTTATATATCTGATGAACTTGTCTTGCTTTGTTTATGAACCAGGTGACAATTTCCACCACTGACAGACGAAACAACAAATTAATTTTTAAGGTTAATTTGGTGGAGTTGGAGGAAAGAATATTACTGGATTTCCGCCTTTCAAAGGTACTTGATTTCTTACTGTTTTGCTGACTGATCATTGATCTAATTTTCTGTCGTGTTATTTTTCAGCAGAGCTCTGATTTGCATTTTCTGAATATTTCCTTTATGTTGAGCGTGTGGGTTTCTTTTTTTATTTGGTAGATCTGGATGTCTAGTGGTGTCCGACACCCCAGCATAGTCAAATTATAGCTATTGATGTATGGTAAACCTCTGGGGGTCCAAACATGGAGGCTGCCATCCATAACCTTTCTCTTTCAAAATGCTAGTTGCCTGGCTTTTATACCAGTACATGGAGTTGCTGTCCTGGTCCCTAATATCAGGTTAAGTCCTGATTTCACTGGCTGCATGCTTGACCTTGTGTGAAGCTAGAGAAAGCCAGGCACCCAACATTTAAAGGAGCCCCTCAATGGAAGCCTCTGTCCATCTCTTAGTGCAGGTTTCCCTTAAATTAATTTCCACAGAAGAGCCCCATGATTGGCCCAGTTTATTGGGAAACATTGCAAGTTGTTCTTCTAGCAGTTATAGGTTCAACTGAAATTTTGACCTGCGCATCTGTGATTGATTGAATGTTTGGTTTTCTTTTCCAGGGTGATGGTCTGGAGTTCAAGCGACATTTCCTGAAGATAAAGAAAAAGCTGGAAGACATAGTGGCCATTCAGAAAGTTGTTGTGTCCATCACCTGAGTATGGAGTTCAGGATTTGCGATAATTTGTTGCTGACCCACTTTCATTGCTGTTAAGTACTAGTTCCGGACTCCTTTTTATTGCTGTTAGGACCTGTAGTTGTGGTCAATGAAGGCATGTGGGGGTTGGGGGGCATTTGGGATGCTCCCAGCTTTCTTGGAGAAGGAGGAGATCCATTTATTTCAAGGTGCAGTCATATTCACAGTGGCCTTCACAAAATGTTTCTGTGCCTTTTAATGCCGGATCTCACTAGTGCTTCCTTGGCACGTTTGGTAATGTTACACAGTTGTGAAGCTTGCAGAGTTTGTGTCCTACACATAAACTTGATTAAAGTGTGACACATCTCTGCTCCTAGTGCTGTGGTGTACATACATTTCACATGTGAAAAAAAAAAAGAAAATTCTTGTTGCCAATATATATTTTATTGTGTTGTATCGGTAAGAGATACCTCATGTTCACATGAATGTTTTCACAGTTAGTACTCTTCAAATGATTGTAGTCAGTTGCCAGAGCTATATAATTAGTCTGGGCCCAGAGGCAATCGGTGTTCAATAAAAAAAAAAAAAAAGTGAATGTTTGTTTGTCATATGTAACATACTTTTAATGTGTAAATAAATATCACTTTGCGGGAATTTTATATTCCGGTTCTACATGCTGGAATTTGCAACTCTGAATATTCTTGCAAAAAAGACAGCTTGGTTTTATTTACTTTACCTGTGTTTGTCTTCTCTGCTGGAGTCAGGGGGTGAAAGTTACTGCCCTGTCAACTGCCTGACTTCTCGCAGTGGGGTTGGTTTTCTAAGGCTAATGGGCTTTTAACTCTCTATTGGGGAATTTTCCCTTTAGCTTAGTGAATGAAGAAAAATTCATCTTTCAATCATGTGCAAGCAAAAATACTAGATGGTAGAATATAAATGAACCAACACTCCAAATATGTATCATACATTTATTCATAGACCGTGACACACAAGTGAAAAGCATAGCAACATTTTGGGGCCTTGCAGGATTCCTTAAGGTAACAAACGTGTATAAATGCTTTGTTGAAACCCAAAGTAAACCCCCCCTACAAAGAAAGGAATGTGGCATAATAAGCATGTGAATAATAGAAGTGCGTGCATACCTTCTGATGGAGCACCCTGTGTGCCAACAATACATATACAGTGTTCCAGGGAAATCTCATCTTTAGATCAAGGACAGTAGTTTTGTTGCTAGGCAGCAGCTCTATTCTGTACCAGCTTCCTGTCCTACCCTCTGCGTGGGAGCTGTGCCAGGACCCTGGTCTGCCTCAAAATCAGCCCCAAATCTGTGCGGCCAGCAGCTGAGCGACCCATAGGCATGCAATAAAATCCAACTCTGCTATGCAGTCCTTCTACAAGACAAATACAGAAAAGCTCCGGTGTTTAAAGCAAGATCAAGTGGGTACATCTCAATCAAAGAGAAAAAAGGCACTAGAGAGGGGTGGCAAAGAAAATGGACATGGGAAGGATAAAGTACTGTACTGGGGGCAGTAATAGGAATATCAGATCACAAACTAGGTGACGGTAGCTAACAGTATGTAGCCACGCAGAATATAGTCTTTAACCCCTTCGTGACTGACGACGTACAGTGTAGGTCGCCAGCATCGGGGCTGTTTAAACAGACTCCCGGTGACTTTTGCCGCCGGGAGTCTGTTTAAACTTGTAGAGCCGACTGTCGGCTTTACAACAGAAGCGATCCTGGCGACTTACCTGTCGCCAGATCGCTTCTGCGTCCCGAAGAAGGGGCCGCCCCCCCGCCGGAGGGTTTTACGTCATTTTCAGGCCTAAAATGTGGAATATAACATGGGTGCAAAAAATAAAAAAAGGGCCTCAGTCATGAAGGGGTTAAAATAACATGATTTATGAAATGTTCAAGAATCCCAAGATAACTGATATGGCCAGGCTCCCAGGTGTAGTAAGATCCATTCAAACCCCACATCCAATACAAACATACCAGAAGGTATTGAGGTGTTGGTCATCTGTTGTCCACATGTATATCCAAAAGATGTATTTAGCCCTCTTTAGGGCTAACCGTATCAAGGGTAAATATCCAAAAATTCCCCTTCTCAATAGTAGGTTGTCTGTTGCCACCTCTGCATAGTTTTGTGACCTTTTGTATGATCAATGTAAAACTAGAAAATGAATTTATAATTTGATGGCTACATTTCACCTTTAAAACATTTTTAGTCCTTTTATTAAGAAGGATTTTCCAAATACCTTTTTTTTTTTTTTTTTTTTTTTTTTTTTTATTGAACAGATAAAAAATTATTGATTAAGAAAAAGATGTAAATCGGCAATACTTTGAGGTAACGAGGGGGAAATGCATCTGAATCAGACTGAAAATTAGGGCTGCAGCTATTTTCATAATCGATTGGTTAGCCGATTATTAAGTTCGATTAATCGAAAATATCACCTTTTATTAAAATATAATTGGAAGGACATACATTCACATACCTGAAGGATGCTATTGGTGCCAGGAGCACCCACTTTGCCCCTCCTAAGGAACAGGCTGCTCATCAACAAACCTGCTGGCATTTTAGAAAAGTCCTTTTTGTGCCATATCATCAAGGAAGACTTCCTCTGTCCAAAGATACACCCCCACTTTCCAAAGTTGGGGGGGCATTTAACATTTGGATTGCAGACACTTGACAGCTTGCACCTGAGACACGTGGGTGTGGGAGCTGGTCGAAGAGTTTTGCTCCGTGCCCCCTCCATGGGGTTCTTACATTTCTGTGTCACGGCACAGGTTACCAGATTTCAGTCAAGCCCTCTCGGGTCTTCTGATTTAAGGTGAAATTGCCCCAGTTTCTGTGGCAGAACAGTTTTGGAGATTTTACTCGAGCCAATTCAGAGTTCTCAAAGGATGCATTTCCCCATCTTGGATCTCGATGCTCCTGCATGTTTCCATTTGTGCTCAGAACGTCCACATGGAATGCATGCATGGGATGTAACAGGTCTTTTATCGCTTCCCTTTACCTCCTGAGACTTTCTACCGTCTGTGAACATCAAGGATGCATACTTCCATGTTCCCCATCTTTCCATTAACATTTCTTATCCTTTGCTCTAGGGTCCCTGAAATACCAGTTTATGGCCTTGCCCTGCGGCCTCACGTTTTCATCTCTGGTATTCGCCAAGGTGCTTGCCCCAGGGTTAGCTCTGTTGCACTTTTCTGGCATCTGCATTGTTGGATACTTGGACATCCTCCAAGTTGGTTGTCCAAGTATCCATACAAGATACTCCATCCAACCTCCAAGGACTTGCCCTGAAAGCACAGTCAGGGCAAGTCCTATCAGACAATGTGGTCCTAACTGTCTAAACATTGCAATGGTTCAGATTGATCTTGAACCATCAGAAATCGGGGTCTAGTCCTAGACATAACAAAGGCCAGAGGTCATCTCCCTCATGATGAACTTCAGATTAACCAGGAGTTGTCAGACTTCCTCCTTTTGCATGAAAGGCCTGGGACTGATGGTAGCATTCTTCGAGGAAGTCCCTTTATCAAAATCAGTCAACTGATTCTCAGATTTGCAAGGCTTGCCAATTGGTCTTCTGATCACATGTCCTACCAGGCAGATGATGAGGCCTTATCTGATGCCAGTTTTGGGTGTAAGGTCCTTTTGGGAGGCTCTTTAAGCGGCAAGCAGGTCCAAGAAAAAAAGTGAAATCTGGGGACTGTTTGCTGTGTTTCCCCACCCCTCAGTTGGACTGCTTTTGGACATCCTGTAGGTGAATGACTGCCTGCGTCCCTCGATGGACGAAAAGGAAAATAGGATTTTTGTACTCCCCATAAAGTCCTTTTTCTGGAGTCTATTGAGGGACACGGGTCCCACCCCCTTGTGTTTATGATCATGCTCTTGGCACTGCTTTGCCACTGAAGGGGAACTGGTAGTAGAAGGGGTTATCATTGAGGCAAGCTGTTAGTGGGAGGGGTTATCATTGAGGCATGCTGTTAGTAGGCGGGTTATCATTGAGGCAAGCTGTTAGTGGGAGGGGTTATCATTGAGGCATGCTGTTAGTAGGCAGGGTTATCATTGAGGCATGCTGTTAGTGGGAGGGGTTATCATTGAGGCATGCTGTTAGTGGGAGGGGTTATCATTGAGGCATGCTGTTAGTGGGAGGGGTTATCATTGAGGCATGCTGTTAGTGGGAGGGGTTATCCTTGAGGCATGCTGTTAGTGGGAGGGGTTATCCTTGAGGCATGCTGTTAGTGGGAGGGATATTCTTCAGGCATACTGTTAGTAGGAGGGGTTATCATTGAGGCATGCTGTTAGTGTGAGGGGTTATTCTTCAGACATACTGTTAGTAGGAGGAGTTATTCTTCAGGCATACTGTTAGTGGGAGGGGTTATCATTGAGGCATGCTGTTAGTGTGAGGGGTTATTCTTCAGACATACTGTTAGTAGGAGGAGTTATTCTTCAGGCATACTGTTAGTAGGAGGGGTTATCATTGAGGCATGCTGTTAGTGGGAGGGGTTATTCTTCAGGCATACTGTTAGTAGGAGGAGTTATTCTTCAGGCACGCTGTTAGTAGGAGGGGTTATCATTGAGGCATGCTGTTAGTGGGAGGGGTTATTCTTCAGGCATACTGTTAGTAGGAGGAGTTATTCTTCAGGCATACTGTTAGTAGGAGGAGTTATTCTTCAGGCATACTGTTAGTAGGAGGAGTTATTCTTCAGGCATACTGTTAGTAGGAGGAGTTATTCTTCAGGCATACTGTTAGTAGGAGGAGTTATTCTTCAGGCATACTGTTAGTAGGAGGAGTTATTCTTCAGGCATACTGTTAGTAGGAGGAGTTATTCTTCAGGCATACTGTTAGTAGGAGGAGTTATTCTTCAGGCATACTGTTAGTAGGAGGAGTTATTCTTCAGGCATACTGTTAGTAGGAGGAGTTATTCTTCAGGCATACTGTTAGTAGGAGGAGTTATTCTTCAGGCATACTGTTAGTAGGAGGAGTTATTCTTCAGGCATACTGTTAGTAGGAGGAGTTATTCTTCAGGCATACTGTTAGTAGGAGGAGTTATTCTTCAGGCATACTGTTAGTAGGAGGAGTTATTCTTCAGGCATACTGTTAGTAGGAGGAGTTATTCTTCAGGCATACTGTTAGTAGGAGGAGTTATTCTTCAGGCATACTGTTAGTAGGAGGAGTTATTCTTCAGGCATACTGTTAGTAGGAGGAGTTATTCTTCAGGCATACTGTTAGTAGGAGGAGTTATTCTTCAGGCATACTGTTAGTAGGAGGAGTTATTCTTCAGGCATACTGTTAGTAGGAGGAGTTATTCTTCAGGCA